AACAACAGTTCAAAACCAATTAATTCAAGCATGGCATCTTTATTATCAATTATTTACTTGTATTCGTACTCAATTAGCAAGTATAACATCTCTTGAATTAGAACATGTTTTTCCACGTAAGAAATTTTTCTAGTGAATATTCGATAATTAATGCCCTTATCAGTATTTTTTTGATAATATTCCAATCATCGTTTATTAGCAAGGTGTCATCTTTTTTTTCAAAAAGATCTACAACATAATACTCTATAAGAACATTTCACAAGACATTGCAACAGATTGTTAAACGAAATAATACTACAAGCCTACAACTTGTCCGACTTTCACGCATAAAATTCGAACTAATTAAATTGTTCTATTCATATGTACTAAGTGGTAGTTTTATTTCAACTTCAAGAGAAATAGATGATGCATAAAACTGAAATATCGCGATTTAATCAGGGCTCCTTATTCAGATATATTGCGTAAAATAAGAAAATTTTAAAAATATTCTCAGCTTAGTTTTAATAAATCTACATTTGAATAAAAACACTTGATTACAATGAATATCATGAGAAACAATTATATTCATTAAATGTTCTTTCTCGTCATACTATATTTGTACAAATTAGACATATCGGAACCTTTTAGTATTATTTTTCAGGTAAAATGTTTTTGTAGAAACACTTGTGATACATTGTTATAGAGAATTACATATTAAAAAAAATACTTAGAAGAACATTTATTCTAGCACAATAGTTGCACACAAAAGAAAAAGAAAATTATATTTTAATTTATAGGTTTAATAATATATTGTCAAAACTTAGAATTAGCTGTTGTAGGTACTTATGAATCACCCTAAACCACCAATAATAATTCGAAATATTCAATCACATATAATAGTTATAACATCAAAACAACGACCAAGAAAAATTAGTATAAAAGATTCAGATGGATATGAATATGTATTTCTACTCAAAGGATATGAAGATTTACGACAAGATGAACGTGTTATGCAATTATTTGGTTTA